AATTTCTCCGTTCGCTCTTCGATATCATTTTTTATCAAATCACGTTCTCTCTCCTTCCCCCTAACCAACTCCTCAATTTCCAACAACCATTTCTCCCTACCACCAACCTCCCTTCTTTTCTCTTTCGCCATTCTCTCGATTTCATACAATTCCTGAGCTTTGGACTCCATTTCCGATTGAAAGTTCAGAACTTTAGCCCCCAACTCCTCCTCGCGCTCCTCAACCTCCCGCTGCCGGGTCTGGAGTGAGTTCCGCTCCGAGTCGAACCGTTCCTGAAGCTCTTCAAACTGGGTCTGGAGCAAGTCAATGTGGTCCAAAAGATGCTTCCACTGCATGACCAGATTCCTATGCTTCAACTCCGGTTCATCCGAACCGGACACCATAGTTTCCATCTTTGACGTCTCTGCAACTTCTGCAACAAAACAAAACAAAAAATCGAAACCCTAAATTCCGCAATACTATGCCTTATGAAAATGGAGAAAGAAAAACGATAAAACCCTGATGTGCCATGGCGATCAGACAAGGTACATTTCCAATTTTCTCAGGAAAAAAAAAAAAAAGCCCCTAAAACAGAGGAGGTGAGATGTTGAACCAGAATGCGAGGGAGAGAGCTACAATACGACACCGTGTCGACGTACCTGAGTCAGTTTTGCTACAATACGACTCCGTGTCGGCAATGGCGGAAGCTTCAAGCTTTCTTCTTCAGCTCGACGTTCTCAGTAGCTCAGCCTCAGAGGAGTGAGCTCATGCAGAAATCATTCTCTACAGAGCTCAGTGGGTTTATTAATTGTAAGATGCATCTGGGCTGTTGGTTTAGAGATGTGGTGAATCAACGGATAGGATTGAGTCTAACCGGGTATGGCCATTAGGCCAATCAGAAACGAGTCTTGTTCCGTACCGGCGACTGCCATGTTGGATTTGTGACCAAGTGGACAACAAGCCAAAATACCTTTCGGCTAATAAAATAGAATAAGGAAAAGGGGGACATCATTATGATGTCTAGCCCTTGATTTGTGGCTTTTACAAAGGTAAAGAATATGTGGCCTTGTGTGATGAGTGCAGCCGAAAGAGAGAAGAGGAGAGAGAGAAGGCGGGGCCTTTTGTTTATATTAAGGCATTTGGTTATGCCTTTGGAATAGGAGTTGGGAACGGCAGATTAAAGAGAAGAAAGAAAAGGGTTGCTGTTTTCTATCATTCCCATTTGTTTGTAATCCCATTTTGTTAGTAATCACTCAATCAAAGATATTTGTGCTACATTTTGTGGCTTTTGGGAGAGACGGAATTTGGTATATGTTTCCATCTTCTCCATTTGTTCTTTGTGAGAGTGAGAGCTATTGGGTGTATGTGGGATTTGGGTTTGAGAGTTAAAACTCTATTTGTAATCTCCATTTTGATATTAGTGGAATTTCCTCGCCGTCTCGGAACTGGACGTAGGCTTACGCCGAACCAGTATAAATCCTTGTGTCATTTGGATTATTTGTCTTATCATATTTTGCCGTTGTTGCTTATTGGTTTCATATTTGACGCTTCCGCACAACAAGTGGTATCAGAGCTTCGGGTTTCGACTTGGAGGCTTTGTACTAATATGTCTATGAAACCTTCGAATATGTCGGTGAAATATGATATTGAAAAATTCAATGGGAGGAATGATTTTAGCCTGTGGCGGGTTAAGATGCGAGCTGTGCTAGTTCAACAAGGGTTGCTTAAGGCGTTACGGGGTGTGGAGGCCTTGCCACAAGATTGGTCTACTGAAGAAAAAGAAGACACTTTGAATCGAGCACATAGTGCAATTATGTTATCACTATCTGATGAAGTTCTTCGTGAGATGGAAAATGAAACTACTGCAGCTGGTTTGTGTCTTAAGTTGGAGAGTATATACATGACCAAATCCCTCACCAATCGTTTGTATTTGAAGCAACGTTTGTACACTCTCCGTATGACTGAAGGTACACCTATTCAAAACCATCTTGATGAGTTTAATAAGGTTATTATGGATTTGAAAAGTATGGATAATAAAATTGATGATGAGGATCAATCTTTGATTTTGTTGTGTTCTTTACCTCCTTCGTATTCGAATTTTGTTGAAACTTTGTTATATGGGAGAGATTCTATTTGTATGGAGAATGTAAAAGCCGCTTTGAATTCAAGAGAGTTAAAGAACAAAGTATTTGGAAATTTGAATGATTCTCGTTCTGAGGCTTTTATAGCAAGAGGCAGAGATAGGGAATATGGTTCAGGTAGTAATAAAGGAAATTTGAGATCGAAGTCTAAGACCAGAAACAACACATGCAACTATTGTCGCAAGGAAGGGCATTGGAAATTTGAATGATTCTCGTTCTGAGGCTTTTATAGCAAGAGGCAGAGATAGGGAATATGGTTCAGGTAGTAATAAAGGAAATTTGAGATCGAAGTCTAAGACCAGAAACAACACATGCAACTATTGTCGCAAGGAAGGGCATTGGAAATTTGATTGCCCAAAATTGAAAGATAATGCTGGTGCGAGTGCGAATGTCGTCGATGACGACTTCGACTTTGTTCTATGATGACAGTTGGCTACACCAGATTTGAAATTAAAAAAAAAAAAAAAAAAAAAAAGGAATCTGGTGTTGTGGGTACTCTTAAATCTCTTTGCTACATATGGAGATTTAAGAGTTTGTAAGGATTATTTGTTATGATTTGAGAAAGTTGCTTAGTAGCCTCTATGTATGTTTGTGTTATGTCAGTTGCTCTTCATCGGTGTTTTTATTGTTTTGGATATTGGTATGGTTTTGCTTTTTTTTTTGGTAAAGTTGAATTCAGTGAGGGCCAATTTGTTAAGTTCTGCAAGTTTGGATAGTGAGACACCACACTATTTTGGAGACACCTAATGCGGAACATTTGTGTGGAACCCTCTTGTAGAAGGCAAGTTATATGCTTTCTAACTTTGGTCTATGGACATTTGGTTGGATTTGTTTGCCACTGCTATTTGGTCTGTTGGTCTCCATCATCTGCAATTAGTTTTCTTGAAGACTCCAGTTGAGGTATGGTTTTGGATCTTCTGCTGATTATTTGAATTTGAAATTTTGGTTGTCCTGTTGGTGCTCATGTGATGATGGTAAACTTGAGTGAAGGGCATATTTTTTGTATGTGGTATGTGAGACCTTGTTGCCAAATTTGTAATCAGTTTTGACTTGGAGAATGTGCCATGCTATGTGAATGAGTCTATTGGTGCAGTTTAAGACCATGGTGTTTGTGAGCAGGTGGAGTTCGTTGTGTGTCCAACTTTGGTATGGTGTGCTTGATCTTTTGTTGGCGATATTGAAGAATTTCAATTCTTCGTTTGAATCACTTTTGTTTTGGTCAAGACACTTATGGTTTGGAAATCTGGAGAAGACGGTAGAGAAATGTTCACTTTCGTTGGCTTTGGTACAGTTTGAGTCGAGGTGGAAATTGTTATGAGCACAGGTAAGTTTGGGGAATTTGATTTAGTTTCCGTTGTCTTTAGTTTGTACTTTGGGTGCTTATGGTGATTGTTGATTCGATTCTCTGTGATGCTTTCGGAACTTGGTCAAGGTGGAGATTGTTGGATTTGTGACCAAGTGGACAACAAGCCAAAATACATTTCGGCTAATAAAATAGAATAAGGAAAAGGGGGACATCATTATGATGTCTAGCCCTTGATTTGTGGCTTTTACAAAGGCAAAGAATATGTGGCCTTGTGTGATGAATGCAGCCGAAAGAGAGAAGATGAGAGAGAAGGCGGGGCCTTTTGTTTATATTAAGGCATTTGGTTATGCCTTTGGAATAGGAGTTGGGAACGGCAGATTAAAGAGAAGAAAGAGAAGGGTTGCTGTTTTCTATCCTTCCCATTTGTTTGTAATCCCCTTTTGTTAGTAATCACTCAATCAAAGATATTTGTGCTACATTTTGTGGCTTTTGGGAGAGACGAAATTTGGTATATGTTTCCATCTTCTCAATTTGTTCTTTGTGAGAGTGAGAGCTATTGGGTGTATGTGGGATTTGGGTTTGAGAGTTAAAACTCTATTTGTAATCTCCATTTTGATATTAGTGGAATTTCCTCGCAGTCTTGGAACTGGACGTAGGCTTACGCCGAACCAGTATAAATCCTTGTGTCATTTGGATTATTTGTCTTATCATATTTTGCCGTTGTTGCTTATTGATTTCATATTTGACGCTTCCACACAACATGCTACGTGTCTATCGTTTTCCCGCCTTGGCCTGTGATCGGTCAAAATTGGTCTTATGTTAGAAGGAAATGGGGATTCCAAGGAAATACCGTTTTCAGGGAAACATATCCATTTTTTTTTAAAAGGTTTGTGGCAAATCACGGTTATTCACCCTTTTCAAAGGTTGGAAATACTCACAGAAGCATTTCAGCTTCTCCCTGGCCACAAGTCTGGTTTCTAGCCCAGCAGCGGGTTTCAAACCCGAGACCTCCAGTTTTTTATTTGAAGGAAGTCTCGCAATCCACCATTTACCACTAGGCTACCAGCTTGTGGTTAAATAGATCCATATTTTGGTCATAATATAAGTATAGATACTTTTAAAAAAAAGTAATCACTTATATTGTGACACTTGGTATATCGAGCTGTTTTTTTGACATATTGAAAATTTCTCCATTATATGGTGTGACATCATACCTATTTAAATAAAAATTGATCAATAGTTATCTTTCAATGAAAAAATTTGATAAGTATTTTCTTTAGGAGAAAATACTGAGGAAGTTGATATTCATTGCGACCATTATGATTTATAACTCAATAAGTTAAAAGCGTTTATGGCTTATAACTCAATAAGTTACGAGCATTGACCTCTACACTTGTAGTCATGTGTTTAATTCTCCCTCTTCCAATATAGCTTATACAGAAACAGAAAGATGACATATTTTGAGTTATCAGCTGAAAGAGTTCATAGTATGGTTGTGTTTTGCATAGAGCAAACAAAAACTTATAATTTGGCATCAAAATAGGAAAGACATTTGTTTTGACTTGCTATCCAAATGGTCGAAATTTCTACGATGCTTCAAAATATCCTATAACGTGGGTTTAACCATCCTATACCGTGGGTTTAACCGTTAAAACTTGGTCAGTGTATTTTTGACCAATAATATTCTAACGGTTAAAAACTCTGTTGTATAACATACCCCAGAGCACCATAGAAAATCCCCAAAATGCCTTGAACTTCACTAGCTAGAATTTGTGCAACATCCTAAGCAATAACGTTTTCTAAACATGTCAAGGACTATCCATCTCCAGGTTTATACACTACAACAGTGGGAAGTAATGCAATCCACAAACAGAAAGCAGGCTGGCGACCTACCGAATTCGTGTCGTAGATACAATTACGTGTGACTCAAGGAAGAAGTTATAACCGTACAAGGACGGTGTACGCTAGAATCAGAACTGTACACAGGGGTTGAAGGTGGTTCGTCAAAGTTAGCTTGTGTGGAGGGTTCCCTGCTAGGTTTCGCTAGGGTCAGAACCATGAGCGCCGGGAGAGAACTGATTAGAGTTATGTAAACCGGCATCCTGCACAGCACTGAAATTACCACCAATCCCATGCTCGTTGGAAGCCAAGGGAGGGAATCCAAAATTTTCAGCCGGCTGAGATGACGAACTGAACTGCATGCGACCAAAATTAGCACCAATTTCATGGTCCATAGCAAACTGAAAAGGGTGTCCATAGTTTCCATACAGCTGAGACGACGAAGTTAACTGCATAGAACCAAAACTGCCACCAGTTTCATGGTGGTTGGCAGCCATACTAAACTGCCCAGGGTGTCCATTATTTCCAAATAGCTGAGATGACGGATTTAACTGCAAACGGAAAGATGTGCAGGATCTAGCAGCAGCTGCTACAGCTGTTGGATGGCTTCTATTTTGACGTTTCTCTGGTGGTTGAAACTGGGGGGCAGAACTAGTACTGCATCTCTTCCTTCTTTCATGTTCTTGTTGTTCACAAGTGGAGGCAATAGCCGTTGGCAAGCGTCTCAAATTCTCCTTTAGACTTTCCAGCTGAACTATTTCCAATTCAATGTCCTTATAAGGGTATTCGGACTCAAGATTGTGATCCTTTATGCAACAAAGGACACCCCTCAGATCAGCTATTAGGTTGTTTATTACATTATCCTGTGAGAAAAAATAAGCCTTGATAAATATATATTATACATACACTAAGGAGTCCTCGGTTTAACTATTTAAGAAGAAGCGCTATTGGATGTCCAGAAGAAGTAAAGATACCTTTTCATAAATTGTTTTCTTTCCCTGTAATATTGCACGGAAAGACTTCCTTACATCCTCCACATATTTACTTAAGAGTACCACTGGCGGGAACCTGTCAGTTAACTTGAAGGTGCAAATCAATCTAACAGCCTTAATCGGCTGCTTCCTTTCAATCAGATTCCAAATCAAACCTGCAAAACAAAGAGGCAGGTTCGTCAAACTGCTCCTGATCAGTTTCACCACCCAAACTTGAAGTTACAGTTAGCAAAGCCATCTACAAGAAACACGATTTTTTTAAGGCAGTAACCAACCCCAAGCTATCACCCAACACTATGGACACAGAAATGACATCTAAGGCATTCACAGTTACAAACATCTATAGCCAAAATATAGTAAACTGTAGAGAAATGTAATGGAATACAAACATCACGTACGAATGTCAATGGTCAAGAAACTTACCAGGGATCTTATCTGCAAAACTAAGTATCTGGCATAATTGTAGGACCGGTTTATTCTGACATATAATCCCAAGAAGCATCACAGTATTATCTACACTCAAGGTCGAAAGCAATCCATATGCATCCAAAAATTGCAAAAAACCCAAAATCTCCAATGAATTTTCCTTATCTATTCTCATTTTTGCTTTCCACTGGACTGCTAGGCTTGTTGCCTCTTTTTTCACATCGAGGGCAACATTTGATGAGGTTATCATCAGCTCATTCAACATGGGAATGTAGGTCTTCACGAGATTGTCTATGAAACCAACATTTCTATTGCTCCAGTACTGATGAAGAGATTTTTGCATCAAGTTCAAAACAATTTTTTCTCGGTCTACCGGCAGTCGTAAAACATCAAGCAATTCATTATTAGCTGAATCATTCCCACTTAAATGCTCATTTGGACGCCCCTGCGAATTCCTTGCATCGGTGGGGGCATTCGCATTTAGTTGAAGAATTGGAGAAGGAGAAGCAGTCACATTTCTGACTGTTGAGGGCTCTGGTTCCTCAATTTTGATAGGGATAGAAAGAGCACTATCTGCTATGGAATTGCAAAAGGAAACAAATCGAGGCAGTGCACAGGGTCAGTACACGAATAACTTTGAATAAAAGATATCTACAACATTATGTGGCATTTGTGCTTCTAAGAGTTAACCAATAGGTGGCGGTGGGCATACTTTTTGATTCAAATTATACCGAGAAAAACTCATATAAATAAAAAAGTACCTAAACATAAATAAGAAAATGCTTCTTTTCCATAGTTCAGATATCAGATGGTATTATGCGTAAATTAGAAGGGCACAGCCTAGAAGGCAAACTTAAGAGTATATGCCAAATTTGCACCACCGGCCAATATTAGAGAACGAGTAGCCTTCCCCGGGGTGTACCTGATTATTAAACTCTCATAATGTACTCTACGCGGTTGAAAGCTAGATCCAAAGGAGGTGTGTGATGCATAGCTAAAAACATGCCAGTTACCATCCAAATGACTAAATAAATACCAGCTAATGCAGGGATCATTTCTACGCAGTGGCGGAGCCAAGATTATTTTTAACAAGGGTTAGCTATATATAGTAAATTGTATCTATATAGGCAATGCAATCATTATAAACATTCCAACTTTGATATCCCATCTGTTATTATTCCAAAATCAGAATCATAATGAGAATGTGAAACCCTCGCATATCATTCAAAAGTAACTTAGATATAAATATATGTTTAGTTGAGAAGAATATCCCTCGTATGATATAACACACACGCGCAATATGTTTTAGCTTAGCAGAAAATGGCAGTTCTTACCAGATGCCTTATGTGTCATGCCAAGGGCCTGGCGCAGTTGAGGTGCATGTTCTGGCTGAGAAACTAAAGCAAGAAGACTTTGAAGCTCTCTCGCATTATAAGTTGAGGTCAGTTCAAATGCCGTAATAAGCCACAAAAGACCCAAAACCTCTAAGCTATTCTCAGCCACCACCGTCATCTTTTCTTTCCAGTCATCCGCCAACTTCATTGCTTCTTCTCTCACCAGAGGATTGATCTGTGGTGTTAACCTCTTCAACTCCTGTAGCAAAAGAACACAACTCCTTCTAATAACTATCAAATCATAATTAAGCCCCATGTTGTCCTCAGTCGAATTTGAAGGGTAAAACCCTTCCATTGCGTCCAAAACCAATTTTGCTGGGTCTGATGACGCTTGAAGAAAAGCTGACAATTCACTACTCAATGAATCAATTCTCTTCAAACTCTCTTTCATGAGTAACTGCAAGCCTTCACCATCCCTATTGATGCTGGACTGATTACTTGTGGAAGAAGAAACAATGACACTGTTATCAGAGGCAGAATTTCGAATCGAAACAATATCTTGTTGTTTCAATTCAAGTTCTTTAGCCCGCTGCTCCAGCTGCCTCTCTTTTAATTCAAGACCATTGGAGCATTCTTGTAACGACTTTTCTTGTGAATCCAAATTCTTTTTTCCTTCTCGAATCAATTTTTCAAGTGAATCGAAATGTTGTTCTTTCAACTGAACCTCATTGAGGCATTCATTCACTCTCGTTTGAATGAAAGTAAGATCCTTAACTTTTGACTCAAATTCTCGCTCTTTCAGTTCGAGTTTAGTGGACCACTCCTCCATGGATTTCTTCAGCAAAGAAAAATCTTTCACTTTCAAATTCATTGCATCAATTATTTTCTCTCTCGATTCAATTTTCTTATAGGACTCCTCAATCGATTTCCGAATCGAACTAAGTTTCTTCTCTTTATCCTTCATCTCTCTGTCACATTGATCAACCTTTCTTTCCGCCTCTTTAGTTTGCTCTTTTTTCAAAGCAAATTCTTTCTTCCGCTCCTCAATTGACCCCCGAATCCCATTTAATCGCATCTTTCTAAACTCAATGTCCTCATCATACTTCTTTAACATTCGTAGAACCCCTTTCAATTTTTCCTCCTTCGACTCAACCAATTTTGACTTCTCTTCCACAGCTTCCTCATACCAGTTCAATTTACTTTTTCCATGTTCAATCCCTTTTTTGATCGAATCATACTCCCTCTCTTTCTCTCCAACCAATCTCTGAACTTCTTCCAAACGCTTCTCCTTAGCAGAAAGCTCCTCATTGTGCTCTTCGATCGATGACTGAAAGTCGCACAAGGAGGACTTAAGTGATTCAACCTCATTTGATTTCTCTTCAATCAACCTCTCAAGTCCATGCAATTCCTCGGATTTGGCTTTGACTTGGCTCCGCAAAACTCCACTTTGCTTCTCCTTATCCTGGACCTCTTGAACTAGACTGAGGATCTCGTCCCGGATGGAATCAATAGAGTCCAAAAGGTCCTTAAATTGCAGGGCCACCTTTCTCTGCCTCAACTCTGATTCTTCCAAGTTCAAACCTTTCTCTTCCATTCTTACTCTCCTGCCCCTGTAAAAACCCTAACTTGTTAAGACAACACAGCCACGGAGAACAGAGAGTTTGAAAAGCTCAAGCAAATAAAAAATAAACATAAAAACCCTGGTTTCCCCTGAAAAGCTCCCCCGCCATGGAAATTGGAAGGTACATTTTGTTGAATATGTGGCCAAATTGCATCTACTTTCGGCTAATAGTAAAAGTTAGCAATGATGACGTTTGCTAGGGGAAGAAAAAATAAAGGCTAGGAAGTAGCCTTCCTTTTTTCTTTTGGCATTTTTCGAAGGCAGCTGAAGCTGCTGTTGGTTTCATGTAGCAGCCGAAAAGAATGAAATGCAAAAACCCTGGTTTCCCAACAGATTCCCCGCCTCCTAATTGGAAGGTACCTTTTTTGAAAGGAGAATCCAGGAGGGGGCAGTTCACATTCGGCTTTGGTTGTAAGTTATACGGTGTTTGCGGGAGAAAAAATAAAGAGCCGCCTTCTTTTTCTCTTTTACATTCTTTCGAGGCCTGTGCTTGCTGTTTGTTTTCTTAGCAGAGAGTTGAAAGCATATTGTGACTCAATTTTCACCATTTCGATCGATGTGCTGAAAACGAAGTCGTGGCACCTTTCTGTTGGAGGGAGATTTGATGATTCAACCTCATTAGAAATGAAAGGTATGGGTACTCTCAATTGTCCTTGTATGAGTGAGTTCGCCTGGCTTTGTTTGTATACCCCTTTGACTGTTGTCTCTATGGTGCTCGTCACTTCTTGGGAGGAACTTCGTAATGTTGATCAGTCAAAAACAGGTGTTGCACCTTTCTCTGGGATTATGTGCTTCCGCATTTGTTGTTTTTTTGTTTCCTATTCTTACTTACCGGAAAGCTACTGAATTAACAACACCGCATCAGGAATCATGGAGTACATTTGATAGCTTGTCAAATGTTATTATTACAAACCCCCCCCTTCACCGTTGACATTGGAGGCTTGGGTGACTGTATATTCCATTTGGGTTCTTCCCATTTCAAATGACTATGCAATGGTCTCCAAACAAATAGTGGGCAAGCAGACTTATCTGACCTCCAGCCATAGCCTTTAAAGTTGGGTTTTAGTACTTTGAAATTGCAGTCTGTGTTATGGTCAATTAGGGTCTAGCTTCACGTCTTTTTCTTTGCAGGCCTACCAAGTACAATGTCATTTTCTGAAAGAGTTAATGTCTTCATCAAATGCACTACATGCATGTCTTTCGTTCAGGTTTCGACACTTCATGTCCAAAATAAGGATTTGAGATTTGACCATTTCAGGAACATGTTTTGAGCTTCTTTAAAGTGAATTACCATTTAAAAATGACATAATATAATTTGTTAATTTTTTTTTAAAATGAAATCAATTTACAACTTAGGGCGTCAGAGACCAGACAAAATTTCTTTTAATTGGAAAGAATTTAAAATTTTTCTAGACTAAAAATCTTTTTTTTTGTTGTTAAACGAACCTTTAATTTCTCTCTTATTTGATTATTTATGTAAAATTTCTTAGTAAAAGTTTTCAACCATTTTCATTTAATTTTTCTAAGAATTTACCTTCGTTTAACTACTATTCAAAGTTTTATTTTTCGACTTTTTTTAAACTGGAATAAACTCAATTTTGATTGTCTTTACTTAATTTGACTTTGTGAGTTTCGATCTTTTTTTTTGTATTTTTTACCATTTGATTATGTTTTGAGTTTGGATTAAGCACTTAATCTCTTGTTTACTTTTTAGTTTCGAAGTCATTTGATTATGTTGTTGACAAATTAAAACGTCGATTAAAAACTTTCCTTTCTCTCTCAATGAGAGACCTTCCCTCTGTTTGAGGGTTATTCTCACCGATCTTTGCGAATGGTTTCTAATCGTGTCCAATTTTGGTGTTGCCGATCCTAGCTCCGGCTGGAATCGGTCGATTTTCTTTTGTTTATTTCTCTCTCTCTCTCTTCTTCCTTAAGTTGTTTTTTCCCTGGTTTTATAATGTATTGGCCGATTTGCCTTCTTCTCTCCCCTCTGCTGTCTCTCATCCATATACATCCAATTTCTAAGCTTCAGTCACTCTTTGCTATGATTGGGTGTGGTGTTTCGAGTTGGTGTGTAGATCTAGTGCTTCCACTGGGTCAGGTGTTCCTTGCACCACCACCTTCTCTTTGTTGTTTGCCCTTGCTGGCAGTGTTGCTTGTGGACTGCTTAGGTTGTCAGTTGTCTGTAGTTGTGCTAAGAGTGAAGCTTGGGATTGGATGCTGATATCGATGAGGTAAGGCTTCATTTGGGGCAAAAATTTGGCTGGATCGACATGCATGCCTGCGGTTTTGGTGGTTGCAGTTGCGGTTATGGCGGAAGACACAACGGATCCGATTGTTTCTATGTTTTCTTTTGTTTTGGTCTTACCTTTTGGTTGGGCCACTGTTGTTTTTTGTTTTTTGGGCCTGTTCTTTTGTGGTGTTTTGTAAATTTTGGTTCCTGTGTTGGTTTTGATTGGTTTTGTTGTTGGTAATGAATGTTACCTATTCAAAAAAAAAAAAAAAAAAATTAAACGTCGATTTTGCTCAACCCATAGACAAAAATCTTTCAGCATCTATAAATTTTGGGGCCAAAACTCTTGTAATTTTTTTTTATATATATTTGCAAGTTTGATAAAATTAATTTTAATTGATAAAATAAATGTGTGTTACCCAATGAGTCCTAGTCAGACAACAAGAGTGGTGCGAGCGTCCAAACCAAAAAAATTGGGTAATGCTAGTGAGACAAAAAATTTAAACCAAATTTACAAATCAAATGACGTGTCACAAATAAAAAATTAGAAAATAAGAACGTTAAACAACACATAAGTAACAATCCAATCATTAACAACTACATCATTTAATTTGTAAATTTGATTTAAAATTTTTGATATCCCAGCATTATCCTATTTGAAAACAGCTCTATGTCAACTTTGGACAAAAACAAAGGGAAAAAAATGACACTATGTCAAAGGGTATCTACAATAGTAAGGCCAGATTAGGTTGCTTCTCCTAAATAGCAGTAGTGCAACTTACAGAAGAGAGCGGGCTGCCAACCTACCAAAGTCGTGCCACCAAAAAAACTAGGAGGAACGTTACGAGGAAGTTACCCGTAAGCAGCACTGTGAACTGGGACGGGCCAGAGTTACGCACCGGTCTTTCGTAGTTAGCATGTATAGCAGGTTTATACAGGGTCTAATGAGGAACACAAGGACGAGGATTCGGGATGGCAGTAAAACCGGTACCAGCATTAGCACCAATTTCATAGCTGTTGGCATCCCTACCGAACTGACCACGGTGTCTATGGTTTTCATGCCACAAAGATGGCTTCCGATACCCTGGGCCGATTGATTCAGATGTCCGATGATACTTGCTTTGACGCTGTTGCTGTGGTTGAAACTGACGAGGCAAAGTGTTGGGTCTCCGTTTCTGACCTCTTCTGTGTTGTTCTTGTTCAACGGTGGAAGCAGGAGGCTTTTCTGCCCCTTGTTCGACATTGGAGGATGGAGATTTCTTTTGCTCTTGCGCCGCACCTTTGGAGGCAGCGGATTTTTTCTGCTCTTGTCCTTCAACCCTAGAGGCGTGAGACTTTTTCTGCTCTTGTCCCTCAACTTTCTGACCGCTTCTGTGGTGTTCTGGTTCAACCTTGGAGGGAACAGATATTGTCTGCTCTCGTCCCTCAACAATGGAAGCAAGGGGCTTTGCTGCCCCTTGTTTGACATTGGAGGCAAGAGATTCGATATGCTCTTGTCCCTCAACCCTAGAGGAAGGAGATTTTTTTTGCTCTTGCCCCGCACCTTTGGAGGCAGCAGACTTTTTCTGCTCTTGTCCTTCAACCCTAGGGGCATGCGAATTTTTCTGCTCTTGTCCCTCAACTTTGGAGGCACTAGCCTTTTTCTGCTCTTGTTGTTCAACCTTGGAGACCGGAGAATTTTTCTGATTGTGTTGTTCAACCTTGGAGGGAGGAGATGTCTTGGGACGTCTCCGATCCTCCTTTAGTTTTTCCAGAAAAGCTATTCGTGTTTCAATGAACCTGGAAGGGTACTCGAACTCGAGATTGCAACCTTTGATACATTGAATCACAACTCTAAGATCAGCAATCTGGTTGTTTATACATTCATCCTGTGAACAAACGTAAAAAGTGTCCATGACTCAGTATATGTATATTTACATTGAAGATGGTGCTATGTTTAACTATTTTTAAGCAAGAGATATTGGATGTCGAAAGAAGTTACAAGGTACCTTTTCATCAAGTGATTTACTTCTCTTGCTATTTTGTATGCACAACCTCTTTGCATTCTCCACAAATTCTTTCAAGAGAGGTACTGGGTGAAACTTGTCAATTAACTTGAAGGGGCAAATCAATTGAACAGCTTCAATTAGTTGCTTCTTTTCAATAAGATTCCGAATGAAATCTGCTACATATAAAACAGATTTACAGGATTTATCAAATTGCTCTGAAGAAGTTTCAAATATCATAAGGAGGATAACGTTGAAGATCACATCTTGAGAAAGAAAGATTATAGAAATTGCAAAAGCTTCGCTATTGACATTTAAGAAGAGGGACGAAGTGATGAAGTTCTTTCATGTGCAAAAGAAAATTTCTCGTTTTTAAATTTTTTTATCGACATATTTTATTTTCTTTCTCTGATATCATATCCAATTTCGTGCATGTTTTAATTGGAAAGAAATAAAAAAGACTCCATCATCTATAAAGCATTAAATTATACACTTACCAGGGATCTTATCAGCTAAACCAAGTGTCTGACATGCTTCTAGCGCCTGCTTCTGCTGAGAAATCCTCCCAAGAAACACTAAAATCTCTTTATTAAACATAGAAAGCAATCCATATGTAGCGATGAACTGCAAAAAACCCAAAAGCTCGAAGGCTTGGGTGCCTGCACCAATTTTTGATTTCCAGTGGACTGCTAGCTTTAGGGCATCTTTGTTAACATGAGGTCCAACATGTGGTTTAATTCTCATTAGCTTGTCGAGTAGTGAAATGCACTTCGACATGACAGTTTCTCTAAAACCAACATCTTCTACTGTGCAGTATTTAGCAAAAGAAGTTTGCATCACATCCATCACAAACTTTTCTGGATCTGATGACATTTGAAAAGTAGCCCAAGTTTCATTCTGCAACAGACGATCCCTACTGAAAATCTCATTTAAAACCCCCTGCAAATGACTAGCATCTGTGGTGGCAGATAGTTGAAGATTCGGAGAAGAAAAGGTCCCAGCATTTTTTGCCAGTAAAGATTCTGGTGTCTCAGTTTTGGCTGTGGTAAGAAACAAAGAAAATGCAGTAGGCCGGTTAGAGAGTGAATAGTTCCAAATTTAACATATCGTGCTTTGAGTCAATCGGTAAGGTGTGGAAGTCATAAGCTATCACTTAAGGATCCTATCAAAGCCAAAGTAAATAAGTTCAAGACAGGAGGTAGGAGAATATAAGCCTTTTTTTTTCAAGCCGGAAAGAAGATTCGCTGAGAGAGTGGGTAAATGAAAATGAGCAGAACATATTTGATGATAACGAGGGAGAGTACCAAGACTGGCTAGAGTGAACGAGGCTTGTTTTGCAAATGTGAGAGCATAAGATGGTATTATGGGCACATTGGAGATAAAGAAGGCCTAAAAGACCAATTTGGAAGTATATGTAAAATGTGCAATAAGAAGATCCAAGATGAAATGGTATCAAAAGAAGATGAGATAAATGAGAAGAAAACTTGAAGCAAGAGTTGATATATAAAAAAATAATAATTAAAAAGTGCAAAATTTTCAGTAAGAATAATTTCCCAAAAACAATTTTGGAATAAGATAGATGAAACTGTACCAAAAGAAGAGATTCTTCTGAGATATAAGAAGAGAACTAGATGCGCAACGTAGTTGCAACTTGGGGCAAATTACCCTGCTGAGAATTTCTGAAGGGACTAGTATACAATCCTGCTCTAAACGGCACAACTATAAGGCATGTCGAAAAGAAACTTTCTCATTCTTATCCTACCATTTTGGAGAGGATCGGAAGAGATAAGTTTCCTTAGTGAGAAATTCATCTTCAAAGGACAACAAACGATCCCTTAAAAGGCATCGTTGCTGGCTTGCTGCTGATATAGAGTTCTACTTATTGACATAACATGGATGAGAAACATAATAGGAAACCCTCGACTTTATAAAAGTAAATCAGGAATTAAGATATAACCAAATTGGAAATTTAGGTACATGAACAAGAAAAAAGAGCTTACCGGGTGCCTTATCACTGATACCAAGGGCACAGGATAATTCAGTTGTGTGTTCATCCTCAGCAACGATCGCACAAAGACTTTGAATCGCATCATAAAAAGAGGTGATTCCGTATGTACTAACAAACCGCAGAAAACACAAAACATCCAAGCAATTCTCCGTCCCAGTCGTCATTTTAACCTTCCAATCACCTGCCAACTTAATTGCTTCTTCTTTCACCTCAGGGTTAATTTTGGGGGAGATACTCTTTAAAGTCTCCAACAAAAGGATACAACTCACCCTGGTAATGCTCAAATCAAAACCACACCCGCTTTTGTCCGCCCTTGAATTTGAATGGTAAAACCCTTGCATAGAATCCAAAACCAGTTTTGCCGGGTCTGGTGACACCTGAAGAACAGCTGAGATTTCACTACCCACTAGAACATAGTTCTTCAAATGCTCATTTATGAACAACAGCGAGCCTCTACCATCCATATTGACGCTGGACTGGTTACTTGTGAGAGAAGGAACAACAGCATTGTTGGCAGGGATTTGTTCCAATTGCTCAATTTTCACTTGAGAAAGAAAAATACTAGTATTTTCTTTCGCTTTCAGGTTTTGGGTGTGTTCCTCGCTGAATTTTTTTAACGAATCAAACTCTTTATGCTTCAATTCAAGCTCTTTGGCCCGGTCTTCAAGTTGCCTCTCTTTCAGGTTAAGTTTTTGGCTGCGTTCTTCTGAGAATTTTTTTATCGAATCAAATTCTTTCTGCTTCAATTCAAGCTCTTTGGCTTGGTCTTCAAGTTGCCTCTCTTTCAGTTCAAGGTTTTGGCTGCGTTCTTCAGTGAACTTTTTGATCGAATTAAATTCTATCTGCTTCAACGAACACTCTTTGGCCTGATCTTCAAGCTGCCTCTCTTTCAATTCCAGGTCTTTGGCGCGTTCTTGAGTGGATTTTTTGATCAAATCAAGTTCTTTCTGCTTCAATCTGAGCTCTTTGTCAAGGCCTTGAAGTTGGTTCTCTTTCTCCTTAAGTCCCTGTGAGAGAGATTCCAAATACTTTTCGCCTTCTTCTTTAGACTTTCGGAGTTCCCCAGCTTTTAACTCGACATTTCTCTCTTTCAATACAAGTTCCCTCTCTTTAAACTCAAGCTTACAGGACCACTCCTCCAATGATCTCTCACGCAAGCAAAAATCTTTATCTTTTTTCGAGTCCATTTCCCTAATCTTTGTCTCCCTTGATTCCATGGCATTCGAGCACTCCACTAACGATTTCTCCATCGCACTAAGTTTCTCCTTCTTCATTTTCAACTCCTTGTCACATTCTTCAACCGCCCTTTCAGCCTCCTTAATCCGCTCCGCTCTTAATTTCAACTCTTTCTCACACTCTTCAACCGCCTTTTGCACCTCCTTAAATTTCTCTTCTTTCAAATCCAACTGCTCCTCTTGCACCTTAATCAGCTTTTCCGCCTCCAAAATCTGCTCTCCTATCCAACTGAACTCCTCCTTGCGCTCCTCAATCGACCCGATAATCTCATTCAACTCCCTCTCCTTCAATTCAGTCTTCTCTACACACTTCTCCAACGCCTCTTCAAACCCCCTCAATTTCTCCCCCTTCAACTCAGCCAATTTCGACTTCTCCTCCACCATTCTCTCAACCCAATTCAACTTCTTCATCCTCTCCTTAACCCGTCTCTCAATCGAATCGCACTCCCTCTTCTTCTCCCCAACGAAACTCTCAACCTCCATCAACCTCTTCTCTTGCACCATAACCTCATCGTTATGTTCCAGAATCAAAGACTGGAGAGATTGCAAGTGGTTCTTACTCTGTATAGCCTCCTCAGCCTTCTCGTCGATCAGAATCTGAATCCTCCCCAACTCGTCCGCTTTCGATTCAACTTCCGTGTAGAACTTCATCTCCTTCTCCGCCAACTCCTCGTCCCGGACCCGGACCGCCGTCTCGCGGTAGGCGAGTTCCCGGAATCGCGACTCGAGCGAGTACCGAGTCGACTCAAAGTGCTCCTCCAGGTCCTTCCATTGCACGGCGAAGATAATAAGCGCAGTCGCCTGCGCGTGTACGCACTCGTACGCCTTGCTCAGACTCCTCTGCTTCGTCTCCGCCTCCTTCAATTCTGCCTCTATCTTCTCCATTATCTCCGCCGCCGCATAAACCTGAGCGAAACGGCGTCGGGGTGGCGGAGAAGCAAGGAAAACAAGAGCACAAGAAAACCGTCTGGGCTCTCTCTCTCTCTCTCTCTCTCTCTCTCAAACTCTCTCAAACTGTGGTTAAAGAACGGCTGCCTATCGTTTAAATAGGTCAAAGAGAAAACCGACTTTTGCTTCAGTACGCAAAGAGGAGTGGGGTGAGTGGTGGGGCCACGAAAGCATGCAGGTTGCCACGTGTGCGAATCTAGATGGTCCATACGTTTTCCAATTGGATTTGAATTCTTCTAATCCATCAAATTCGAGAATTCGAACTACTGAAATTTGATTTTGATTCAACGGCTACAAATAGATATTCATTTTAAAAATTATAATAACTTTAGTCGTTAAATCAAATTTCAATAATTTGAATTTTCGAATTTAATGAATTAGGAAGAAGGGATCCGAAGAAATCCCTTTCCTTTGAATTGAATTGCTTTACTTTTTGACTTTGGTTTTGTTTTGACCTTTTGTGGACGACAATTGGAATGTGCCAGCGTGGATGTTAAATAAAATGCTGCAAATTCGTCGGTGATGATAAAGAGCTTTTATTTACCTAATCAATGACTCGTTTGAATGTGTTTTTAAAATGATTGAAATCATTTTTAGAAAAAATATTTTTTTGGTTTAAAAAGCTCTTAAAGTGCTTTCTGCAAGAAGTATCAGTTATGTGCTTCTTCCAGAAAGCACTTTAAGTGCTTTTTCCAGGATTTACGTGCATCTTTACTAATGATTGGTTCTAAAAACATTTTCATCAAAAGTAATTTCAATCATTTCAGAAGCACATCCAAACAATCTCTAAATCTAGTAAATTTCCTAATAAGTTTTTAACTGCTCTTATTAGTAATAATTCAGATTTAATGACGTATTTATTTACTTGAAATAATTAAGGATAGGTGTTGGAATCATTAGCAGGACATGATTACTTACTTGAAATCCGAAAAATAATCTCTGCTAATTAATAAAACATTCATTGTCAAATAAAATCTTATGAAATTACCAGTTTAACCTTCTAATTAAAACAGAACGTGAATAAGAAATATGGGGTAGAAATGTAATTTCACACAATTAAATTTTGCTTTTTTTGTTTTCAAAGCCTCACTTACATGTCATCCTAACATATCTCTAATTAAAAATAAAAAAACTTCTCTTACTCCCACATTCTCTATCACTCTCTTCCTCTTTCCTTCTATTTCAAAAACAAAAATAAAAATTTTTCTTACACTTCGTGTGTGCTCATATGCTAGTAAAATTTAAAATGACAAGTGGTTGACGGTAAATAGAATATACTCGTTACTGTTTAGTGATGTAATACCTTACGATAACTGACGTTAAGGTAGGACCCACCTATGTGGTGTTGTTTTTATTTTGTGAAAAACATGTGTGTTGTTCATCAAAATGACGAGTAGTTGACGGTAAATAGAATATACTCGTTACTGTTTAGTGATGTAATACCTTGCGGTAGGACCCACCTATGTGGTCTTGTTTTTATTTTGTGAAAAACATGTGTGTTGTTCATAACTAGATGATAAACAATACACCTACCTTGCATAGTAACACATGGCCATGGAGAATAAGGGGAAAAAAAAAAAAAAAAAAAAACATGAGGCCTCCGCCTCTTCCATCCCTTGGAATGGAGAAAGTCTTTGGTCCAGACGCTCACGCTAACAACATGCGGCAGCACGGCCAACACTCTACAAGTGGGACCAAGAGGGGCGGGCGTGCAACTAGGATGAAAAGTGACGACTTATATGGAAACAATTTACTGTCATCATAATATCATGTTTTAATAGAATGATAACATATGTAAGCATTTTTCAACACATGCCATTATTTTAGTATATTGAGACGCTACATGACGGTGAACCCGTTTTATGTCAGTTTGTCCTCTGAGTGTGATGGCTTAGTTTGTTGGTCTAAGGGTCCTTGGATAGATAGACAAGGAGCGTGGAGCTTTTGGTTTTAATATTTTAACAATGAAAATAGATGTCAGTGCCTGATCCAGTTGATACTAAGTTAGTCTGAATTCGCCTTTAGCTATAATCGAACTTAAGACTTTTCGCTTACAAGTGAAGAAAAATACCATATCGTAGTACTAAGTGGCAATCGATCGGATAATTTAGAAACATGGTTCAAGTAAATCTTGTGGTCTCAACGTCCTGTATTAGGAATTTTGGATAAAAACAATTTATGTTTGTTGACATTCTCCTACATTAGCACACTCACAACACCAGTAGGTACAACAATCTTGTGATTTCTCCCAGATGAATCTTCTCAGTTTGAAGGTTACAACGAAATTCCGAAATCAAAGTATAAATTCTTGTACATAAGAGAAAGGAGAAGATTTACAAATCTTCACGAGCCGATGAATTAAACCACAACTTTTCCGAAAGTTCCTTGGACAAGCATTCATCAGGGCTTTATACGAACCACGAATGAACCTGTTCAACAATTTCAGCAAAAAGAATCGATCATTACTACAAGGAGGCCAGCAAACCAAACAGATATAATCTTTTAGTTTAAGAAAACTTGCCAACGAATGGAATATACGTCGAGAGAGTCGTGAGATCATATCAGTTTCAGTATTTCAGTGCATGAAATAATAACGAGACAGATATGTATGAAAGAAAATAGACACAGATATTTATTGATGTCAAATTGCAAGAACGGAACAAGCTGCAAGCAGCACGACGTCAAAAAACCAAAGGATAAAACCATCCAAAACTCCAAATATTCAAGAGTTGAGGCTTTTGATGCTTTTATAGGATAAAACAAGTTTGCATGACAAGCTATTGAATCAACCAACACCATTTGTATTCCAAGAGTAAGGCAGTCAAAGTGAAACCCGTGATACACCAAGTGTTGATTCTCGGAAACAGAAACTTGAGCCCACGAGCAGAATACACAGGGCAGATTATGATTGATTTCGTCACATCTTATCCAGGAAATATGGAATTCTAAGCATGGCTGGACAACAAAATTCCCGTCCTCTTCCCGTCTACTACACTTCAAAGTAATATACTGCTCTCTAATTAAACATGAACCGCCTAAAATAAGTCAAAAAACACTAAAGCAACTATCATAGGTTCAAATCACCATCTCTTGACTAGCGGGATACAGACGGACATTTATTCACTAGCCCAAAATTTTATAACTTGACCCACTTTTGGTAAGATTACAAAGAGGATATTGGCAGCTGACACTGCAAAGTGATGCTTAACATATAAGTGGATAGCAAAGGGTATAGATTCTACAGATGATTTACTCCAAAAACAATGAATTATCGCAGATATATCAAATTTTCCAACTTTACATCAATGGGTTTATTATTGTCAAACAAAATATCATATACAGCATTGCTAGATGAATCTAAAATGTGCACAGAAATTGTATTCATAATTCTAAAGCACTAAAGAGAGAACAACTTACATGCAGGAAGTTGGGACGGGTCAGCAGAAACGGCACAAGCAATCCCCAAGTTATGAAGAGCCCCTTTTATGACTCCACACGAGAAATGGAGATGCATGTTTGGTTCTTGTGCTGCCTTGTTTTCAGCCGCCTCAGCATTTTCTTGAGACAAGTCTCCATTCTCGGAAGGATCAAGTGACATGCGTGAAACCCAACGAAATCGATTATCTTGCAATACAAAAGTACCCTACAACACAAACACCATCTTAGTCTTATCAAATTAACCTTAACAAAGAACCTATATAGAACCCCAATTCAGTAAATGATTCTAAAAATTTACTCTATGATTCGTCTTTAAGTTGTCAATCTGCTTCTTGAAGAGCTCGGACCAGAAGTCCTTGCAGATGAACTTAATTGCATCCAGATGATCAGTAAACCGAGGCCGCTCCATCGTGTACCTAACAAGTAAAATATAACCATAATCACACTCCTATTCCTACAATTTGATTAGGATTTACAATGAGCATTATTTTGTTTACTTTAAGTTATAAGCAGACCTAAAATAGCATAGGATTCAATGCCACATACATGTGCTTTCCTTTCCCACATTTTCCCAGCAACCAAACACTATACCAAATCATCGGGAAAAAGAGAAAAAAATGTCGAAATCAAACACTTCGAATTATTTTCCCACATTTCATCAGCAACGATACACTCTACCAAATCACTACGAACCAAAAAAAAAGAGAAAAAATTTCGAAATCAAACACTTCGAATTACTTTCCCACATTTCATCAGCAACCAAACACTCCGCCAAATCATTACAAACGGAAAAACGAGAACAAATTTCGAAATCAAACACTTGGAATTACTTTCCCACATTTTCTAAGCAACCAAACACTCTACCAAACGATTAAAAACGGAAAAAAGTGGACAAATTTCGAAATCAAACACTTTGAAAATATGCATTTTCAGATCTAAAAACCCATAATCCGTGAAATCAAACAAAGGCAATTCAATTACAATGAAATTAAAGGACAATTAGAGAGGGCAGGGTGGGTGGGATAGAGTGCGGGAAGGTGTACCGCTCGGAGAGCTGGTGGCCGACCTGGTAGCCAATAGCGTCGATCCTACTGGCGGCGAGCTCGGGCTTGTTGGCGTATAACCGATTGCAGTACATGGAGACCATCTCTGTTAGTAGACTATCCACGCAGCTCTCTGATACCTCCCTCCCCATCTCTCTCTCTCTCAATTTTTCTCTGCTCTTTCCTTTCTAAATTAATTTTTATTTTCAGAAAAATAAGAAAGAAAAATAGATTTTGAGAGTGGACTGCTGGGCCTTATAGAATATGGGCATTTGGGTATGTGATAAGTGGCCCATTGGGTGACCATATGACTTTTTTTTTTTTTTTTGAGTACATCGATATTATATTAGGGAAGGGAGAGTTTGGCTAAACCACATAATGGACAACCTAATTTGGTATCGAATTTGCCATCCACGAGGTTCGAACCTAAGATCTCTCACTTCCAAGTAAAGAGGAATACCACCAGATCGTAGTACTGAATGGCGACCATATGACATTTTAATGGTGAAGAAAAAATATAAATAATTTAGTCGGACAACTATCGAATTTTAAGAGGTAATTTCAAATTGGTCCTAATCTTT